CCTACAGCAGTTCCTACTTGGGCCATGAACACCACTTGGTATCTTTGCACCACAGCTGATCTTGCCCTGTTACTGGGACAAACTAAACCATTCTATTTAGAGGAATGTTCGTCAAAAGGCTATTTCAGAAGTTAAGAGATCCTAAAGTCAAAGCATGCTAAAATTCCCTGGAAGAGAAAATGCTGACCTACCTTGAGGTGAGGTCGCTCAGCCACTCTCCCATGGAAAGAAGCGGAAGCTGCCAAAGGACTCGGCAGTTCAGAAAACAAGGCACTTGCATGTATTCACAGTTCTGGCAACATTAAGGTTAATTTAACCTCCTCAAACTGTGCCCGCTGTGCACAGACTATTTCTTTCGCTTCAGCTTGAAAGACTTGTGGGTCTCTAGACGCCCCTCCTGCAGATGAGGAGGGATGTGAAGCAGTGCACTGCAGCCACCAACGCCAAACTGTGCTGCTCTGGAGATTGTATGATAGAAAAAGACTTGCCATACTAACCCGAAGATACAGGTTTTACATCCCTTTCACCAAAGCAGGCACCTAATTGACTCGCCTAAGCTTACGTGTTCTACATCTCAGCAACATCCTCATCTCCGAAAAAGGATGACACCCAGTATCCACGTCCCAGGATCAGGTCATAACAAACCCTTCTTCCGCTACCTTGCTAGCAACCTTTTTTCTAAAACAAAGCAAAAGAAACAAAAAACTCAGTATAATAAACCTAATAATCTGCTAATTTCTTTCAAATTTTATCTAAAGCCCCAAGTAATTAGAAGGTAAGTTAGAGGACTTTGCATTCTCACAACGCGAATCTTGCCCAGCTAATTTTCCAAATGAATCGAGAATCCAGATCCAACCAACTACACTTTAGTCACTTGGCTAGCAAGGAGGACTTAACTTACATTAATGAACACAAGACTTCATTAAAATGCAGTTTTAAGTTTAGCAATACGACAGAATAGTCTATTGAAGGAGGAAAGGGACAGGATTGAAACTGCAGACTCATTTACTTCTTGCTACTTACTGCTAACAAATTAATACAAATTAAAAATCAATACAGCAGGACAGCGCGAGGCAAATGCTACTGTCCCTGAAGAGAGGACACGTTAGACCCATCATCCCCGTGCTGCCAGGCATATCGCTGTAATTCTGCAGGACAGGAGAGGACAGGGACGAGCTGCCAGGAGGGGCAGGATTTGCATCAGTTTCCCCTCTGCACTCGACTTCTGTTCCCTTGTGCCCTCTGCACTCAACTTCTATTCCCTCGTGCCCAAACTGTCTTCTTATGTAGACAGCACTGGTGCCAACTTCAAATTTATTATAGTGAGGAAGCCTGTCACAGAGCTACTCGAACTACTTGCTGCTGTCATTAAGAATGACCACAGACTGAACGGGAACACATTTGGATTTCATCTTAAGCATCATATCCTAGACCATATGCAAAGCCACTGACGACTCCAGTAATCTTGGTCAGTCAAAATCCAAATCACACCAGCCCCGGGAGAAAAGCTGAAACGGAATGCAAAGGATCCGGTACGCAACGCCAGCCACACACCACGTAGGAGTGGTTTTTCCATTCTTCAAACATGACCTCGGCAACGCTTCTTGTTGTGCAAAAATCAGTATGAAAAAAGTGTATAAAGCTCTTAGATAAAAAAGGGTTTTCCTCACAGGTGCTTAGTATAAAGTTAAATTTTGACAAATTTATTACACAGTTGTACTTACCACAAGGAGGAGCAAGGAAAACTGGTGCCATGCAGCTGAGCAAGATTGTTTCTCTATGACCTGCAGTTTAGGTACATTTCATATACAAAGTGCCGAAGTTTCACCATCATGGCAACTCAGAAAATATTGATGAAGGTGACTTGCCACATATTATTTAAACTGGATTTACACCCTTATATTTTTTAATTGCACTGGGTAGGGAGACTATCTAAATAAAAATAATTTCAAAAATCACATCACTTTTACTACTTTTACATTAAAAAATATCAGTCCTCTTTCAGTTGAAGCACATTTCTTGTAAGCATACGCATGCTTATTCTTCTGTCAAGAAGGCAGCTACAAATACCTAACCTTCAAAGTATTTAACAGAATTAAGATGTATTTCTTTTTTAAAAAAATAAAAATCAAATGTCCTTCCCTTGTTAGTAACTCCCCACCCATGGAATTCATCCTTAAATCCTAACTTGTCACTCCTTTAACACAGACAACTATATCTGCATGCATATGTAAAGGCAACACTCCACTGCACCTTCTTTCCAACTACTTCATAGCAACCTAAACATTTAATACATATTACTTTAAAGAAATTTGAGTGAATTTATTGTATAAAATTATGATTGGCATGGTACAGAAAAGTTCCTTTTAATGCATGTTTCCCATTAACTTGTACACAAATATTACAAGTATCAAGCAAAATGCAAAAGTCTTAAGAACTAATTCCATACTACAAAAGTGTTCACATAGTGAAGTTACTCTGGTTACAAAATGTCATGGAAATAAAAGCACTTCAAAATACATATTTGGGAAATGTTCTTGAATAATCAACACAACCTTAAGTTAGTTAAAAAATGCAAAGAAAGAGATACCCTCTTCAAAATACTATTATTGATTTGGCAAGATGGAGAAAAGTTCAGATCAGTTCATTTATTGAAGGATTGTTCTTTCTAAGAAACAAAAAAAAAATAAAAAACCTTTAGTTAAGAAAGGGCTCGGTTATACTATGATGACAAATAACGCCATCAAAAAGTTATCTGGCTCTCTTGTTTTCACACAGGAGCTGTCAGAGGCAGAGATGTGTAAATGAACACTTCCAGGTATATACAGATTGCCGTTTCAAAAGCCAACCAATCAAAACAAAAAGCCAGAAGAACAAAAAGGAGACAATCTGAACTTTGATGTTTCATTTAACTAGTTCAGTTCCTTAGGTGACAAGACCCAGCAACGGCGCTCTGCAATGGATACACACTTCAGAACGAAACTGAACTTCCCCTACCAAGGAATGCATAGATGTCACGTTACGCGAGTACCGTACGTCCTCGCAGTAAGGCTGTCAGAGGCTACCAAATCTCTGCTTCCCAACGGCGACCTTGAAGACCTGCTATTCTCAACAACACAAAAATGCTTGAACCCAACAAACAGCCTTACAGAAAGGAGGTGCAGTCATACCGTTAGAAAATAACACAAAATCTTCAAGAGTGAAAGCATCCTTCAAAACTTAAACAAAATAACTACAAAATAAGCAATACATTACATCATTTTTGTATCAGATGACTTGCGCGTGTTTGAGCAACTGAACATTGGTACATATATCTACATGAAACTCACACATACAAGACATCACGTTCAGGCATTACTGTTGTTTTCCTTTTACACACACACAAGCTACTATCGGGTGATCCAGTCTACTCAAACGCAGCGAAAACCAGCCCACAGCATGGGTAAAAGGAGCATCATCCAATACAGTGTTGTCTTGCAAAAATGGAGTCAGAATTCCTGAGTCTCAGAGACATTACTGTCCTCCCCCATTACTGGATTATTTATTTTTCCAAGGAGAACCTCTAGTTCTCATTTCTTCGCTCTGATGAAATTTATAATAGATTGCGTCTTTTAAGAAAACATAAAACTTTTAGAAAAAAACATGCCAACCAAAGTGAATTTTTAAAGCTTTTTAAAAGGAGGGAGGATTCACTTACAAAATAAAGGCCACCTTCATGTAAAATCAGTACTGCCAGTACCCCATCACGCTGTTTAAAGGACAGATTTAGCTCCCTGTTCTGGAAGCCTTATTACATGCAGTCACGTGACTTGAAAAACTCCATCCTTTTAACAATTAAAAATACTATAAATAGGACTAACGTGGAACAGCCCTTTGTTACAATCGCCAAGGTGGCAAAACCAATGCAACAGTTAGGTCATGAAGTCTCCTTCAAACAGTCACTGCAATCTATTATAACTTCTATATTTTCCCTTTTACTTTGCATATTACACAGTGTAACTTAAAATGTTATTTAAGAGCACTTCAGTCCCACAATGTAGGATTTAAGCTTGTGTGAATACATACGCATGGCTCTGCAACACTTTTAATGACTTACAAAAATACATTCAACCAAAACTTTACATAGGGTTCTCTTTTTTTTAAAATCAAAACTGAAGGAAAAGCCAAACGGCCCCATCATTAGCTAAATAATACAGTCCAAGTTCTGGAAGCAATTCCAAAGCAAAAGCACATCCAAGAATAACATACATCGAATTGCATACTTTCTTGTTCATCTTTATCAGCAATAAAATTCTACTGCATATAATTATTCAGCCTTATAAATAATGCTAAGCAGAAAAATATTTACCTCTGTGCTACTTTTCTCAGTTTATAGAAGCATTTCTCAGTTTATAGAAGCAAAGAAAAAAAACCTAAAGTGCAGACTACAGGCCATGACAGGCGTAATAAATGACCAAAGGTGCAGCCAAATTTGCATTTACATCTTAAGTTACTTCACCACCTTTCTCTTCTTGTTAGAAGTCACTCCATGTGCAATTGAAGAGCTGGTCAGTTGGTTTTTGTGCCACAGTACAACCTGTAACCACTTGTAATCTTTTTAAAACTAGTTGAATTGTCCATAGACATTTCTAGACAATAGCTTAGGTTCACAAAACCTTACTTTATTAATACTTGAAATCACACAATATTGACACCTCCTCCAGAGAATGCTACTGTCCTTTTGTTGCAGTATGTGGTTGAACCACTGATGCTCGGTTGACTGTCTTTAACAAGTGACGTCTTCATTTCCATTTCACACGCTACAATAGCTGCATTCAGTTCCACTTGAGCTCGGTGAACGACATAAAACATGAGTCCTATGCTTATGACAATCTGCAAATAAAAAAAAAGAGCGTTGTAGGCTATATAAACTGTAACTATGAATACAAAGCAACTGTTCTGAACAAAACAAAAAGTTGTCAATGCAGAGATTTACGGAGGCATCTGTTGACTCAATGCTTCACAGGCAAGACATTAGAAAGAAGATGAACTTGACCAATGAGTGGCTGTGAACCTGCATATGCTAACAACTAGCATAGAATTATTAAGGTTGGAAAAGACCTCTAAGATCATCAAGCCCAACTGTCACCACAACACCACCATGCCTGCTGAGCAATGTCCCCAAGTGCCACATCTACATGTTTTTTGAACACCTCCACGGATGGGGACTCCACCACTTCCCTGGGCAGCCTGTTCCAATACCTGACCACTCTTTCAGCAAAGAAATTTTTCCTGATATCCAATCTAAACCTCCCCTGGTGCAGCATGAGGCCATGATGTGTGATGTGTTCATCAGAACACAGACATTACACAGAAATTAAATATTGATACGAATTGAAAAGATACTGTCTTTCTTTCTTTCCATTGACTTCCACATACTTGTTAGAAAGCAATCCCGTCACTTTCTCAGCCAAAATGTTTCCACAAAGAAACGACATGGTGTATTTGTGTTAGTCAAAAAGGCTGTTTTCCATGTACCAAGTGAATAATAGTTTGAAATTGTACTGGGCATCTGCAACTTGCAAAGCAGCTGAGATAGAGGATGATGCAGAGTAAAGGAAATAAAACTTCTTGTCCTTGCCCCTCTGATGCGGAAGATGGCAGACAGCAGCAGTGTCACTGCGCTTCTCTGATATCAGGACTAAACAGGACAGAATCAGACCTTCTGAGAGACTTAGAGTACTCTGTACGGGAAGAATGTGGTTTCTGGAGGATGGCTCGGGGAGGATGTTGGTGCTGCGTGGGGGAGGGTTATTTGTTTGTTTTAAGGAGGAAATATTGTCTAAAACTAGGGGTTTAGTTCGGGTTTTTGCTCTGGATGCTACTGCTAAGAATTTTTAAACTTTCACCACAAAATTTATCAGGAATAAACCTAGACAATTTTTGCTTAGAAATTACTCATTCAATGACATTGGCATGTACTGCACTCCCCAGAGGCGGCCTTTGGTTTCAGTAAAACTTCAGTTAAGTTTTCAGCTGAGATCCTCCTTAAAAAAATAAAACCTTCACATAAAAATCAAGTTGTGTCATAGCGAGAGTCCCTTTGAAAGAAGTAAATGCCACTGTGTTTTTTAAGAACGTTTTATGAAACCAGCTTGAATCTGCAACTTCCTTTCAAAAAACCAAAAGGTTACACTGTTTACAATGGAAGCTAAAGTTTTGAGTCTTTTGAAATTAATTATTAATTGGTAGGGCTATGTTTTCTTTAACGTTAAGGACTATCACTTACAACATGTCAGCATGGCATAAAAGATGCTAGAATATCACCAAGTGAGATGACTGACAAGTAAGGTCACCGGATAAATGCATCTGGCAGGCATCCTGGCGGTCCCTACCTCAACCTGCTGTTCAGAGCAGCGCTGGCTATAAGATCAGACCAGGTTGCTCAGAACTTCTGTCCAGTCAGATCTTGTAAACATTCAAGGACAGAGATCTCACCACCCCTCCAGGCAACCTGCTCCACTGCTTGACCATCCTTGTGGTGAAAAAGATGTTCCTCGCTAATTCAAGCTACTCCTTTCAAAGGCTGGCCAATGTAAGAGTTGAAAAAGGACTATGGACACCAAGTTCTGAATATATAGGAGAAACCTTATTCTAAAAGCTTACCCAAATATTTAAAGTTGACTGGTTTTAGAAATATTACTACCAATAGCCTAGCTCCCTAGATGAATAACTTAAAAAATATATACACACAGATAGCCATGAAATATGACGGATTTTTAGAGCTATTTACTAAATTAAAGTCCCACCAAAGCCCAGCTAGGCAAAGCACCAGGCAGATGCCTGAAAGAAAGTGGCAGAACATCAGTAACTCCTCCACCAGCAGGCTCCCCTTCACTTACTCAGTCAGGTCCCAAGGATTGCTCTCAAGGAGGTGCGCGCTCCTATTCAAACATTCAGCCTCTCCAGCTAGTGCTTACCTGAACAACACTTACGTTACAACCTCTATAACCTACAAAGGAGAGTCAATGTCATCTAAAAAAAACCATTAATTTTTTTTAGAAAAGGAAAAGACCACTAAAAAATACCACCCTGGAAATAACATTCCTGAAATGACAGCTGATCAAGTAGCCATTTATTTTCTCTTTGGTCCATCGAGGCTATTTGCCCCACATTTACAAAGGCGTTTTCAATTCTCATAACCCTGTTCTATGAAGCCTATAAATTATATTTTCCATGTAAGAGCACACAAGTTGGGGGTGGGGGTGTTAAAATAGTCCTAGATTTAGCTTTCTATCTTAGCATTGTTAACCATCAGCTTTATGACTCTAAAAAACGAGGAACATAAATGACTGCATTACCAGCTGAAAGTCTGCAAACCGTGGTAACTGCTGTTCAAACACAGCCTGAAATACCGACGCTGTCGGAGGAGATTTCAGTATACAATCTGGTTCCAAAATACTCATGACCTCTATGCTCGTAATGGTCTCAGACTTAAGGCTTACTCCCCAAGACTTACTGACAAATTATTTCATCAGTTAAGCTCATGTAAATGTACTACACACTTCCTACGAATTTACTCACTTGCAAAATTAGGATATTCTGATTTAGGCATTAGCAAAATGGTACTTCTACAGCACTTTTCATCCTGAATACCTATGCAAAATCAGGAGTGTTCAGTGCTAACAGCGAATGCTGCAGAGGTGCAAGGTCTACGCACCCTAAGCACACTACTTCCCAGCTGGTGGCAGCAGGGCTTTTGTGCAGAGGTGGTCTGAAATTCCGCAGGAGATTACTACAGAGGGCAAGAGAAGACAACCTGACAAAACCGTGGCAGAAGGAGAAAAAGAGAACACTGAGTAAGTCCTGTGAGGTTTGAGAGAATTAAACTTTTCTAACAGAAGAAAACAAAATCAAGAGAAAACAGTACGCTGGAAACCCATTTCGCTGGGTATCTAGCAGTCAATAAGCCTGTGAAAAAGAAACATCAGCTCAGTTTTATACAATCTACTGAAAATACCAATTAAACACTTTTCAAATCCTGCTACTTTTCAATAGCACATGCCACACTTGCTCGGCTCTCGGTCTGTACGAGGTCAGCAGCCTCAGACTAGGGAGCTGTTATGCCAACAGAGAGCAGCTCTTAACTCCCCCGAGACGCACGCTCCTGCAAACCTCCCGCAGCCCACCCCTTTTACACACGAGGCTGCACAGCCTGAAAGACAAACCCGCAATACTGAACCTCTGTCTCACACACATTCCTACGGGCACGCAGTTTCCAAAGCAAAGACTCAATGACTTGAGGAGACAAAGCTACTGGAAGGAAATTTGTCTACTGTCTCCAGAAGAAAAATTCTGTCTTGAATCCCACTGATACAGTAGATGAGCAAGAAAGTAGGGGGATACAGAAATAAACTCAAATACAAGATGACTGTTTCCAAGAGTAATTGCTTGGGCAATCATAAAGAGACTGACATTACTGTTACCAAGGTCTACGAAAGCAATTATTTCAACTTACCTGTAAACTGAATATAAAATAGCCACTAACGCTTTGTTCTGCAATCACATCCTCCATGGTGCGCAAGGTAGTGCCCAAGTATGAGTTCAGGAGCTGAGTGGGAAGCAGTCCAACTGAAGAAGCCATCAGGTAGTTGGGTAGCGACAAATCTGTAATCTGAGTAAAAGACAGCATAAGAAATCGCGCATAGCTCCAATACAATCTACTTGTGCAACCAGACTGCTGCTCCCACAACCATCCGTGCAAAATAATGAAAGAATTCCTTACATTCCTTCACTGAAACTTTCCACTGTGTGTGAACATAAGATAACACAATAAACCAGTATGTGGCTAGTTTTCATCTGGCCTTTTTAAATTTACTAGGTTTTATTTCATTTCATCTTACATTATGCAACATCTCTGCAAAAAAGTCATTAACTAAGGATGCAATTACACCGTTCATCGAAGATGTTTATTTCTTCACGGTGAGCGGCGTCCTACAATTTATGAGAATTTGCTCGCAGGAAGAAATGTGAAGATCTAAAGCAAAAGTCTATTTGATTTGCATTTTACATGTATGGCAACTAATAAAAGGTAATTCTTCAAAATGTCACTGTGTTAGATATCATCTAGGTAAACAGAACGGCAGACACAATTTGCCTCTGCAAGGGAAGTTATATAGGTCATTAAGGCACATATACCTATCAATGATCTCTATCAGTGATACCTATCTATATTTATACTGATATGCATGGGTATCTTTACGAAATTTTACATCCCACCTTTATTAGCGAACAAAACAGTGCACACGGCCACAGCTTTTGCTAGTTTCTCTGGAAAAAAACACTAATAATATTTCAAGATATCTTCCCCTCTGTGCTATGAAATTTCTGTTCTGAGTCAATATGTGGACAGTTTACATGGGAACAAAGTACACAGTACTAGCTAAATTAGTATCAGCAGCCACTGGGAAATATTAAATGCAAGAGCCAAAAGGCCAAAAGATATTTACACAAGAAAAATGAAAACGAGAGGAAACTATGGGTTAAAAATGAGTATGAAAAGGGTTATTTTGAAACAAGCAGTATAAGGAATTTTCCAGACAATTCTGTTGATCACATGGTAATAAAACAAGTTTTAACTAAGAATAGCCCCTAACACTGGGAGCCTACACGGAAATTATTGTCCTTGACAGTTTTGTACAGTGTCGAAGACAAGAGAATAGCAGCAAAGTTACTCATTTCATCATGCTATTCTTAAAATAAACTTTGGTTACTACGAAAGTCACAGTGCTGGATTCTCAGAGCTCTACGCACCATCAGTGGAAAGTTTTTGGGAGGAAGTAAGGCCAATGGAGGAGGAGAATGCAATAAAGCATAAAGATTAATTCACTGGAACAAGATCCAATAAGCCAGTTCCAAACTTCACACTGCAAATCATACTTCCTGTAGACTGAAATACATACCAGCAACACAAATAATACATGGCCCTCTCCATACAAGATTAATTTAGACTTGTAATGAAAAAGCACTACATAATTATGTCAGAACTTCACTTTTGACTGATGCTTTGAAAAGACTTTTTTTTTTTTTCCCCCTAAACATTACCGTAATCTGGGCCATGTAATAAGAATGCACAACCAAAACTTCCCATATTGCCAAGGGAATGAAGGAGCTGCTATTAAAAATCTCTGAAATACTAACGCTGAGGCATGATTTGCTAAGTAGGACACTGCCATTAAATCTAATGGAGCTGGGAAACTTCCCAAAGATTGTTTTAACACTCCTGGGCACCTCTTTCATTTGTGTATATGTATTAAGGACACTTTGGTTGCAGAACAACACGTCTGCATGTCTGGGTCTGCCCTGAAGCAACTGGACCTCCTAAGCCATGAGAGAGACTGTTTCCAAGAGAAGGGGAGGCTGCCAGTGGATATGCTGGACTGCAACTTGTGCTTCTCATTAAAAACGGGGGGGGGGGGGAGCGGAATTTTGCAGGTGCCTTTTTAACTCGTGGTTTGCAAGGTTTAGACCTGCAGTGCTATCACAGCAAGCAGACAGCACCTCTACAAAATTTCCATAAAACTTCCAGCTTTCCATATCTTTCCTTCTATGAACTTTACTTGTTCTAGTAACCTGCCAGACTGGGATCTGTGTGGCCAAGCTGCCAAACAGGCTACCAGGACTCTGCTTCTACGGAAAGCTCAAGCCAGCAAAAACTAATGGTGAAATCCCAATGCAAACATGGATGCAATTGTTATAGGCCATAGCGATGTATTAAAATAAAATTGAGATCTACCTAACTGTTCTGGTAACAAGAGTATTACCCAGAAATTCTCCCACTAAGCCTTGGACAGGCTTTGTCCAGTAAAACTTTTGTGTACTCTGCAGCTGACACCTTTGGTTCGCCCCTGTCAAAGAACAAACGCTTGTGTCAGGACTTCGTTGGGGGCTCACATGCCTTTGGGGATTGCAGCAGATTTCTCTCCCCTCAACTTACGAAATCCCGTGTTTCAGATCAGCTAGGCTTAGCGACCGAGAGCAAAGGACTATTCTGATGCTCTTTCTCCAAAAAATACCCCCAAACAGGTAGAGTATAAAAAACAAAACAAAAAGCAACTCGCAACTTTCCAACAAGCAGAGTAAGCGGCCCGCACGTTCCTGCCAAGCAGGTACCATTTCTTGAACTTTCATTTCACCGCGTGCGTTTCTCGAACCAGAGGTGCACACTTGGACGCATTATTCCTTCCATGCAACACTCCTCTCAGAGGAGAAAGAAAAAATATGATTTCTGATCTAAGCTACACTGGGCGCTAGAAACAATCAGTTTGTACAAACCTCACTCCAGCGCCCAGCAGTGGGAAGGAGGTGATGCCCTGTGTAGCAGACCCCCTTACAGACTTGCCTTCAGAATGCTCGGAGCTGCCACAGGAAGAGGTCTGGGGCTGGGCAAACGCTTCACCGAGAGCTACAGCCCACCCCAGCAGCCCAGACCACCCTGGCACCACAGGAGTGTCAATCAAGCCAAATCCACTCAAAGAGAAATACAGCCATGCTTTCAGTGAAGAAGTTCTTCCAGAAGGCCTTCCAGAAAAGCAAGTAAATGCCTCAGCCCAGTGCTCCTACTATGGGCGCTTACCCAAAGAGCAGCAGCATGACCTTAAGAAGCAAGATGTTCATGTCTGGCTGATGAGAAACCAAGAAATTTGTGTCAATTTTCTTCTTGTGCCATTTCAAATGGCATGATCCCATCGCTAATCAAATGCTAGGAAGCTCTTCCTTCCTTCTGCACCTTTGCCTGTAATTCCACCTCCCCAAAACCCTCAGCAGATGGCACACGGCACTGAACAAGTGCTTGTAGAAACCCATTAGCCCCAGCCTTGCAGATGACCCCTCTCACATCAAGGTTACGCCTTGTCCTGGACCTCATGTGTCACTTCCTCCCTTCCCTCTCATTTAAGTATTCTCAGCATGTCCGGTTTACTTATAAGTACGCACACAGAAATCACGCATAGACCAGACCGCTGGAAAAACAAAGATGCACAGGTTTTCTTCAGTTCACTGTTCTTGCCTCTACTTTTCAAATTCTTGCTGAAGTTGCCAGTACGGGGAATGGGTAGATGGTTAGGGCACCCCAAATCCCCTTGCAGTTTAAATGTAAGCAGAGCATCAAGTTTTCAAATAAGTCAGATTTCAAAGAAATAACAGCTCGGTCTGTGTACGTATAATTCTGTATTCTATATGTAACTTAAACTTGACTCACAGTGAGAAACTGTCTTGAATTCCCAGATTTGCACACAACATTTTTATTTTTCAGTAATCTAGCAGTTCATATTAAATGTTCTCAGTTAAAAATTGAACACACCTATGCCTATGCTGCAAAGAAATATATGCAGAGCAACAAATGCAACCCAAACTAATTTTAGCAGTCAACATCCAAGTTACTAGGCATACTCCAGAATCTGGTTTCATCTCATCTCCTGTCTGTTATTTTAACACCAAAACCTTCCACTTGGAAAGAAAATTATTTAGCTTGCAGTACTTAGAGAATACAAAACACTGATTTACGGCACCATTTTAATATTGCACTGGCCTGCATACTCTGCTGAATCGTGTTTCCAACAGAACAGTCATGCCAGGGAGGAAATCGTTTTAACTCGGTAATTTTCTGGTCAGTTTTTCAGATCCAATACTGCTCTACAGCATCTGCTGACTCCTTGAAGTGACACCCAGAAGCTGCAAACAATCGAAGCACCACAGGTCTCCCCACTTCAGGAGGGTCACATACAGCAAAAGCTTCAACTGCTGCACTGGGACCTTGGGCTCCGGGAGGACTCTGCTCCCGGCAGCACAGGTCTAAGCTTCCTCAGTCCTGTGGTAATATAGACAAACAAATGAAACAGCTGAGGTTCCTCTCATTCTTAATAAGGAAACGGTCAAAGGATCAAACAAGTTGCTACAGCTTTTATGGGCACAGACTGCATCTCCCGAGACGAACACTCCAGCACGCAGTTTTATACACCGCAATTTTAAATATTTGACGTGGGTGTTAACCCCTACAAATTGCGCAGATTAATTTTTTCCTAAACAACAAATTTGGTATTCAATGACCTACTCATTTCAACTACAAGATTCTGTCAAAAGTAAGCAAGCACTTCAGAAGGGGACAGGATCAGGACTGCTGATGGGGAGTGGAAAGCATGCTACAGGTAAGTGGCAGACTAAAACACTTGTTTACAGGGTCTCTTACATTAAAGAACACACGAGTTACTGTTAAACATTTAAAATATTTCACAGTCTTGTTTGTTTTGATTTCACCACGTTAGCAGACACAACTGAGGCATAACACACAGCCAAAACCAGATCCTTCAGACAAGGCACTCAGAAAGTGTCTGAAATTGTCATCACCAGCATGACGGTACTCAAAAGCGGTAGCCTCTACGTTCTTCTTTGCTTTCTAAGATGATCACAGAGAACAGTAAGACTGTAAGTTTCAAATAATTATTCTTAAAGAATGTACCGATCGTCATCTAAAAGTAGAAAGAAAAGCAAGTCCAACCCTTCTCCAAACTCAAGTTTAAATTAGCTTTCAGTACCACTCCAGTCTGTACCAAGCCCCCTGCCAGCTGAGCCTACATCTTGATGCTTTGCCCAAAATGCGCGCGGCCTCTCTGGTGTGCACAGACTTCACACCCTCTACGGATTTGCTAGATGTACGCTACACACACCAACCCAACTGAGCAAGAATTGAATCTGTCCACTTCTGTCTTTCCAATATGGTTATTTATATTAAGTAGCTGAGGGAGATGTGGCAAGACTGTTTAAAAATACCTTTCTTCCCACTCATGGCTTCAAAAACACAAGCACTTTAAAACTGCTGAGTTTTCGGCAGATTTTGCTACACAGCTCCTTGCTGCTTCTTTCTGACACCAGAACATAGTCTCAAAAGCCAGAGAGCAATGCTGCCGCAATGCCACTGAAGAAGGCACCTCGAGAACCTGCCTGCCGTCCCGCCACCAGCACCAAGAGCCACCAGCAACAGCAGGTTGGGTTGCTTTTACTGCTGTCGGAACAGCGAGAAACCAAGGTTTCTTCCCGGGAAAGGAGGCAACCACCACCAGCGACGCCGGCCGCTGTGCTGCCCCAGACATCCCTCCAGCCAGAGCTCCTTCCCTGGCCCGGGCCGGGACTCACCGCGAAGACGGCGTTC